GTATGGAAAGCAAAGTCACAATGATATGAAATTAGTGTCATTCATTTTTTTGTTTGTATGTTCACATTGATGTTAAATTACATTTTCTGATTTGTCACATTACTTTTTAAGTAATGCTAAAACACTGCTGGTCACTTTCAAAAGTTATAGTGATTCTTTATTTTCCAAGAAAGAATGTGAAACAAATTGGTTATATAATTTTCATTTTTAAATATTTTAAAATATAATTTAAATTGATTTTACACACTTTAAGCAATATCGTATCGCATATCGAATATAGCATTTTTAACAAGGTATCGCATATTTCTTCAATATCGCACAGCCCTTATATATATATATATATTATTATTTTTATTTTTTTTTTCAATTGTCATTTGCGATGTGTTATGAGATTGTAGCTCTTTCCATCATTAAATCCGTTAAGTACACAGTCTTATACCAGTGTTTTTGTCTGATTTTCAAATATATTTTTGCTTCAAAGTTTATAATGTTATGATTCACCTTGTGGCTGGGAACAATATATATTTTTTAAATTCCTGTAGGAACAATAAATGAGGAAAAATACTTTCAGAACTAAGGCTGCTGAAAAAGTGGGCAGGCATTTCTGAACTCTATACCATTTGTGTTTTTGCATACGGGTCATACCTGGATGGAGCCACTCCCACCAAGTTGGGCCCTAGCCCCCTAAAGAGTGAGCGAGGACCTTCTTTCTCCAGTATTAACCTGAGATAGAGAGAGAAAGTTAAAAGAAAAATCCACTGCAGTGCCCATGTGAAAGCTTAGTGGATGCTTGCACCCCTGTCTTTATGGCAATAGCTGCAAGATTTAACAGTATGACATGTAGTTGCCATGACATTCAACATTTGCTTAAGTTATCCAGACCAACTCAGGGTTTGGGACGAAGCAGGTAATTGGGAGAACCAATGCCTAGCTGTACCTTAATCAGTGCTATCTGCTGCGTGCAACTGCATACATGACTGTGTAAATTTCACAAACAGCAGTCATAGATATAGATAGTTAGACCAACCTACAAAGGTTATGGACATTCAACAAATCTGAAGGAGGGACTTGTGCTGACCAGCATAATACAAAATAGGTGAAAGTTAATGTTTTGCCTTCAGAAACAGACATGTTCAGACTCTTCTATAATTCCTCTTTCAGAAGTTGGGTTTGAAAAAAAAAAAACACTGCATCTGTAACTAATTTTCTCCTGACCTACTTTTCAATCTTTTTCTTTCTGATTCTGGAATAATACAATAGGCATGAATATCACTGCTTGCCGGAGGCCAAAAAAGTTATTCCAATCCTGGAGAAGACAGCAAGGCTACACCCAGAAACCATAGCATTGCAACATTTTGCCAGACTAGCAAAATACCACCAAATGTGGCTTGCAGAGCACTCTTAAGTGTACTCTCTCAGCTAGACTAGTCTCATAGGGCCAAATAATAGAAATAGGCCAATTTCGGACCATAAAACGTTTATCTATTTAATTCATGACCACAGGTCAATGTGAAAGACTGTACAAAGCTTTTTACAGAATTCTTAGCAACATAATTTTATACTTTGCATTAGCAAGAAATAAATTTTTATATTATTCAGTATAACATTTTCTTTAGACAAGTTATACACAAATTATTAGGTTTCAATTTGCAATATTTCTATAATGTAACTCCATGACAGATATATATTTAAAAAAAAACTTATGCTAGTAAAAGATTCTAAGAAACGCATAAAGAAAAACTTGTCTATGTTAAACTCTCACCTAATCCAAATGTTTAGGGTTTACAAGGCATAAAAACACATCCAAATGTTGAATTAATATACGAGGTAATGATGACTGGGCAAGTGACAGTGTCATCTACTGGCTCAAAACATTGTCATTGTTGATCTAAAAACATTTCAACTGCCCTTCATCATAGGCCAGCAAACATTTTAGCAGAACATGGGCAGATGCAGGTATGCTGCTGGCATTCAGAACATTATCCATCTTTCTCTCATTGTTCTGACTAGGGATGGGTCACGATTTTCGAATATTCGATTAGTTGATTTAATTATAGAATATCGAATAGGTTGTGCGATTATTGTCTTAAAAAATTTCCCCATGTTTTCCGTGCTGATGCGGTGGTGACGCGTTCATGTGGCGCTGCCAATAAAGCACCTAAAGCTGTCAAAGACAACAGAAGAACACATTGTCTCATGTGCACACTGTATACTTGCGTGGCATAAAAAAAGACTTCCGTAGCATATAATGGTTACAGTAACTTGGGACGATGTCAAATAAGAGCTCTGTGCGGACCACAAACACCCCCGACTGGGTTAGGGGTGTGCTGAATCCGTATTCAGAAAGGCGCAGAAAATAAATAACACGTTCTATGGAGCCACTAAAGGGACATGGTTAGCCGCTTGCTAACGGTAGCCTGTTACATTACAGTACATAACATTTCACTTACCACATAAACAGAGTAAGGAGAGATGACTGATAGGATGATGGCGAATGATTTGCAGATCCTGAGCACCACTGACAAACATCTAATCTTGTAAAATGTGTGGTAAGCACTGCCGAGTGCTGCTCCGTTTGTGATTGCGAATCTCGAAAGTGAAAGTAAAAAACAAGCGTGCGTTCATAAGCGATTTCAATGCCCCGCATATTAATAACGGCTCCCTGATGCCCGCAGTTTATATACAGTATAATTACCCAACGATATAATTGCAATAGAAGATATTGAAGTATATTTTTCTTCCCATCTCATATCTATTCCCTTTAGGGATTCAATTTTTTTAAATGGAAATGCCCTTATGAGCAGTTGATTTATGCTAATCAACGGACTGTTATGTTAATAAGTGCCGTCATTCGGTTATGTTTATTATATTAATGTTTCAGCATTTTACAATCATTATATGGCTTGAGTTAAGGTAGCCTATCTTCTGAATTAAACAGTTTATCATACAGATTGAAAGCATGAATCCTGTCTCTCTGTTTATGGGTGTTTGTGCGTGCTTGCGGGGGAGGGGTGCGATTTTCGAATAATACCCAGCGATTTTCGAATATTATTTTTGCTTGGAATGCCCATCCCTAGTTCTGACACTCTTGCCTCTATGGTCACTACAGATGGTTGTAATTTACCGTCAGCAAGAGAGACCCACAGAGAGACTGAACAGAGAACAGCTTTGATTGCAAATTCAAAGTCTAGAATACTGTTGATCATCAAGATCCTTTAAACAAGAGATTTCTAGTGTTTTTGCTAGTTTTCATGTGTTGTTTTTGAAACATCTTAACACTGGTTCAAATGCCCTGGAGCATAAAAACCAGGTTTTGTGAGGTTGGGTTTTGAAGTACTCACTTGAGACAGTGCAGAGGCCCCGGTGGGGACATGCGGGCCACACTGGCCCCGTTCACAGTGCTGAGCTGAACCTCAGAGATGTAAAGAGTCACCGAAGAAGACTGCAGCCTCGTCTTCACCACCTCCAACGGACATGTCAGAATTGCACCAACAGTGCCACCACAGCTAGAGACAGAGCGTAAATATTACAATCCACTTTTATTTACACAATATCAATTGTAATGAAAAACTAGTTAATTTGAAATAAAATTGGAAAAAAAAATCACCTTTTTAAACTATTTAAAAATGATTAGGCTAATGCAAGAAAATACAGAAGTCAAAAATAATCAAGCATGATTTCCACACAATTTTTTTTCTAAATTTTATATATTTTAACATTTTATTTCTGTGATGGCAAAAAAAAAAAAAATAATAATTTCAGCAGCCATTACTCCAGTCTTAAGTGTCAAAAATCATTCTAATATATTATCAATGTTGAAAACAGTTGTTCTGCTTAATGTTTTTTGCAGAAACTGCGATACATTTTTATCTGTAATATGTTGAATAGAAAGTTTAAAAGAACAGTAATTATTTGAAATAAAAATCTAACATTGTAATTTTTTTTTTTTGTCATGTTTGATCAATTTAATGTGTCCTTGCTTACTGACCCCAGACTTATGAACTTTTTAATATTTTAATAGATGAAAACAGCTATTTTGGAGAGATGATGCAAATTAATCATTGAACTGATTCATAAAAAAATAAAAATGTACAGACCATTATACATAACTACTTTTACATACTTTTACATATTCTGACATTTTATGCATTTTGCTGTTGTCAAACAACACTACAGGATCAAAAAAGTATTCTGGCATGAAGCTGCTGACATAAAAGTGTGTTGCATTTTAGGTGTCAAAGCATATTTCCTTCTGCTGACATCCACAGTGATTAGACTTGACTAACATCTGTATGTGGGTCAAGTTTAACATGTATTTGTTTGTGTACATGTACAAGTGGGCCCAGCATGCAACAAGTCAAAGGTTAGGCTTGGACAAGACCTACAATCACCTACAAGAGGACAAAGACCTAAAACAACTTACCTGAAATAGTGTATAAACCACAAACACTTCTCATCTTGATGGGTTTTCACTAATAAACTTTACCAAGCATCAAAATAGACATACAACTATGCCACTAAAGAGAAAAGCAGAAAGCTCCTTAAACAGATTCCCTGCTTTTATTATGTGTACGTAAAGTTGACAAAGACAGCACTGAATGTTGATAACACTAAATTTGTTGACCTCAGAATTGAATACTTGTGTTTAGGCATGGGACGATAACCGGTTCCAAGGTATACCGCGGGTTGGAAAAGTCACGGTCTCAAAACCACTAAAATTTCCCGTTATACCGTTCCTGCGGTATGCGCTGTTTTTTTACGTGTCGTCAAAGAAAAAAAAGTTTTTTTTACCCAGACATTTAAAAATAACATATTTTAGAGCTGTAGTCGCAATACCGTGATACGGTGAAACCGTGATATTTTTATCTAAGGTTATCATACCGTCAGAATCTCATACCGGCCCATGCCTACTTGTGTTCTAAACCCTGCATCTATCAAGGTATATTTTTTGTACCGTCTTACAAAAGACCGACCCACATGCAGGGAGCAGCTGTGAACTTTGTCCCAGATATGAAGCTCTCTGGTTTGTTGCTGCTAAGGTTTACAGTGTGTACAGGCTCTCTCACTCTCTCTCTCTCTGGTTGTCCAATGAACAGTATGATCATGCCAACTTCATGAGCAAAACCCATTTGCCACTCCTATTAAAATGCTCTGCAGAGGCCTTTTAGAGAAATTCCACTAGATTTTTTTTTTTTTCACAGATACTTATGGACATCTACTCTTTAAAAAAAAAAAAAAATTACATAGGAGTTTTGTTTGTGATAAAAAAGGGGAAGTAGTCCGGGAAAAGAGGAAAGGATCTGCTGCATTTATTTTCATTTAATTGCAAGACCAAATAAGCAACCGCAAATGTTTCACCAAAGTGAAGTCCTCTGGTCAATGATTAGAATTAAAACACACACAAAAACATTTGCACTTGAGGTTTACACAGCAGTGTTCAACATGCTGAAACTCCCAGGAGTAAAGTAATAAAAAAGTCTTGGCTAAGGTAACCCGTCCCTTTTAAACAGACCTGAACCTCAAGTCCAAGTCAAAAGTCATCTGACCAAACTGGCCTAGTGGGTCCCACACAAGAAACACTTGTGGTGCTGTTCATGAACACAATGTGTACATTTACTGTTGTACCGTACACAATTTTTTTTATTTTGTATTGTGCAATATTTTTATTTGGCCACATACAATGCATTTGTGTAAATTAAAAGTCAGCATGAAACAGAGTTTCTGATTATCTTTGTGATGAATTAAAAAAAAATATTGTGCACAAATAAGTAATTTATAATAAACACTGCAATATTCAATAAAAAAATGAATTGTAAATTTTGGTTTCATGTTCACATTAGGAATGCACTGACTTTCAAATTCTTATAGCCCGATATAATGGCCAAGAGCAGATACTAGTATGAGCATCACTAATATGAACCTAAACTACTTTGTCAAAAACTAAAATAACTGTTTGTATGCTACAAGTAAATTTATAATGTGCAGTAGAAAAAAGGCTGAAATTATATGAAAAACATAGTGTTTGAATTAGCGATGGAGCGTAACATTTTTGTCATATTCTATCACTAATTTATCACTATTTATCATTCAGTATTGGATAATAAATAGCCAATATCGCCTGATAACATAAAAAAAAGTGTCCAATTACAGCACCTTATATAGGCTATGCTTTCCCTACATGTAAAAAAAACAACAACCATAAAATATTATTTAAAATTTTTAAGAACAAAGTCAATGATATTTGTCAACTACTAATTTACAGTAACAGTTGCATAGTTAGGTGTTATTTTTAACTCTGTCACAAGTTTCAAAAAATTTTTTTTTTTTTAATTTATATTATTGCTTTGCACTGACAAGGGAATCTCATTTCCACTGCTGAGTGATTATCTATATACAGAACAATCGATTTGTTTATCAAACAGTTCTTTCCAGTGGCAGATTAATTCACTGCTCACAGTTATCTTTATGTTCAGTTATCCTAGCTATAACTCATCACCAGTTATTCTGACATGCAATAGGTATGAATGAACTAATCGGAAAACATACCAACCAACACTATATGCGAAAAAACCCTTTAAACACATGGTCAGGATATATAATCCCATGATGGGATTTTGCCCACATATTCTGCTGTTATTATAAGCTTCTAGTTAGACCTCTTATCGCCCTGCAGGGTCGGAGTCATCAAATGACCTTCAGAGATACAAGCTTGTCAAAGAGCGATATGCTCCCCTCATATCTTTTACATTCCTGATTGTGAAAATTTGTGAGGCAGTAACCTTTGATTCAAAGAGTGAGAAGAAAAATGTTGCTTGCATGAGCCTCATAGAATGTAAAAGAACAGCCAGGGACATGCAGAAATGAGAATGGAGTCAAAAATAGCTGTAAGTTACTATACTAGAGAGATTGCTGTCAAACATCCAGCGTCAAGCTGACAGTAAGAAACCACAGTCCTACAACAAAGCTTCTGATTTGCTACAGGAAATGGTATTGCTTTAGATTCACATTCAGCTTGAAGCCTCGAGTTTTTCCTGTCTCTTATGTTATATCTGCATGGCAAAAGCATGAATGAAAAGCACCAAAGCAACAACACTTCCTGTAAAACAGAAAACGGCCATGTCTAGAGACTTCCAGAGGATTCTGTGACAACACCAGAGGAGATGCTGAATCTGTTGCATGACCTTGCATTCACAAATAAAGCATCGATCATCTGTAGCATGGAGACATGCTGACAGAAGCTAGCTAGATTTTGTACAGCAATGCTGAATGAGCATCTACCTGACCTTTTATAACGGTCAACCTGCTTTTTTTTTTACGATGAATGTGTCTTATATTACATTTTAAAAACAATCAAGCCCAACTGCAACGAATAAATGTCAAAGAGAGAGGCGTCAGGTTGACAGCGCCGATAGATCGGTCTGTCTCAGGCTCGCTACTCACCCTCCAGCAAACAGATGAACCAGGGTGTCCCTCTGACTCATCCTTTAGCATTCTCCGCACCCACACCCAGGCCTGCAGTGCGAGCAAGAGCCGGACAGCTCCGCCGAACCCGCTGCGATTCTGCTGTACCTCTCAGTTTAATTGATGTGGATAAGGATTATAAAGCACACAGTTATTGAGCCCGACGTCTCACGGGCGAGATGCGTCGCGAGATGCGGCTAGCTCAGCCCGCTAACGGCTGCCGATGTGCGCAGACGCCTCTTTTTGCCTCTAACCGGTCCGTTTTTAATTTATCACAATCTTTTCCTTTAAACAACACAGACAGCTCTCGGATATCGAGGTTGTGGTTGCAGGGGGCTCGTTTTTTGGAGCTAAATCCGCGTTGAGTCGGTGGTGTCTCTGATTCAGAAGCTGAAGAGCTGACTGAGATGGACAGCGGAGTCGCTATTTACGAGCCAATCAGCAACCGCAAAACAGAGGCCGCGATTGGTCCGTTCGCAGCGTGACGTCTCTTTGCCCCGCCCCATCATGCTCCTTTCGCATGATCACGCAATTGATAAATCGTAAATATTGATTTAGCCCGTTTTCAGAGGTTAAGATACATATTTGCAAAATGTTCTATTCAACATATTTGTTTATAAGGTGAATTTAACTCTGCCTGCTATTATAGTGCCCCAGAAACGATAAATGGTATTAGCTTAACAGAACAGCGTCATATTTCTAGCTGAGAATGAATGAGGACATTCATAGTGGGCTGTTCAGACATATTATTTTTGGTGTATTGTGATACTCTCAGTTTATGCACTAAGGGTCTGCACGTGCACTTGGTTCCCCTCACGCGGAAAAATATTGGTTACTGATCAAGTTTAGGAAGGAAGACAAGTAGGGACATGTCCTCCCCCATCAAGATGATGGAACATAAATTGATTTTTGACACTTTTTAAACAGATTGCGCCTTTTTTATTTGTTTGACACAAAAGCTACCTTATTTTGTTGGTAATTTGTGTATTAATATTAGGATTGACATGATCATGGAGAAATCAGAGAAATCATTAATCACTTAAAAAATCATTTGAATCCTTAAATTGCATAACTTCTAATTATGCTCAGTTCTACAATATTTATTTGACATACAATATTTATTTGATATATCTCTATGTGAGGCATTTCTAGTCAAAAATAAATAAATAATCAGAATCAGAAATGCATGAAAAAGTTATAGCACTTCATAGGCCAAAAGGAAAGGGAATACTGTAATATGTAAATGAATGAAACCTCAGAGGACCCAGTGTCTATCAGCTGACAAGAAATCTGGTTTCCTTACTAAACAGCTGAATAAAGTGCACATGCCTCTTGGTTTCAAGATTAGAGCTACAATTGAACAAGTTGAGATCATGTGCATGGAAAATCTAATTTCTCTTGGCATGCCAACCTAATGAAATACAATGAGAAAGTTCTTCAGACAGGGTCTTCGATCCGTTTCTAGAGTTAAAATTGTTTAGATGGTTGACTGATGACCACTTCTTTCTTTTATAGATAAGGCTATGATATTCACAAGGCTATAAAGTACAAGAACAATGACCTTATATTAGGAAAAATCACAGCCTTTTACCGAAATGAGCAACTGGTGTGATTTCAGCGAGGTTACATTAGGCAGTCGTACTGATATTTTTCATTATTATTTAGACTTTATGTAGGGCTTTCTGCATTTCTATTAAAAGGACAGTGGAGAAGTGATGATAAAACATGAAGAGGATGGAACCACTAAATGTCTCTTTCAAGCCAACTGGCAAATATAACTGTCTTAAATCCTAAATTAGTGAAATAACTAAATATGTTATCAGCTTCATGTCATTTCCATCTCATGCCATGAGTAGTGTCACAAGAAACCTGCAATAAAATTAAAGTTTGATGTGCAGCACCTTGGAATTCATTAGAACTTACATAACTACTCTCATAGCAATGTGCCTAAACTGGTGCTGGAAAAAATAGGTCTGTGATTAACTGTGCGGCACATTATTCCAACCCATCTATTGCCAAAGGGAACAAAGTTCACCATCAAACATAACAGTAGTATGTGCAGTTCATTTCCATTCTATTTCTAACTATTGTCGTATACTATTGTCATATATGAAATTGTTTTGAAATACAGTGTTGAAATCTTTAATGTATTGCATTTAACTATAAATTCAAGTCATCATATCTTAATATTAAACCATAGAAACATCTGGAGACCAATGGTCAGCAGAAGAACTTTGTTTAACATAGATAAGAATTCTAAAATTAGATTGATCTGTAGGGCCAGTCACTCCAAACACCATACGAAGAAAACTTGCTTGACCTAGTCCGACCATATTTCTTTGATTATTTGATTTCAGTGTTTTTTCAACTAAATTTATTATAAATTATAAATATTTATTCTTGTTAGAAATGTATTTAACTTTTGATTTTGAATTACAACAATAATGCATCAAATAAATAAATAATTTCAAATGTAAAATTTTCCATGCATATTCTGATGTCTTCATTTAATAAGAATACCTTTTTTTCTTATTTAATGGTCATACCAACAACTGGTATGATATACAATTTCTTGTATAAGCAATCCTACCTGGTCAATAAAAACCTATTATGATTCTGATGTCAAAATCTGTGAGTCTGCAGAGAAATGGAAATAAGATGTTTCATAAGATGATCATAAGATAGTTTCATAAGATGATCAGAAACTGCTGCATAATTAATGGCTGGATGAGCAGTTCACGTGTGCACATTCCAAACCATCAGATTACATATTAACCTCCTTTAACCTCCACATCTTTTTTTCCTTAGAGGTCAAATATTACATAAATTCGATTTTTAATGCTAGTACTTTTCTAATAATTCAAAAAAAATGTTGTAGTAATTTTAATACTGGTTCCTAAAAATCTAAAATATATTGAAAACATTATTAATTCATCAGTTAATCATTTAGATTCATAAAAAAAGATGACAAAGAATGAAAAAAAAAGAATGATCAGCATGTAAACACGATGTCACCTGACAGGTAGCATCTCGGACATCATACTACATTGCTTCAACAATGTTACATTGAGTAGTTTCTCAAACCAGGCTTTTGTTACTTGACCAGACCCAAATAAAGACATGAGATGGCTGTAACATTACCATAATACACATCCCGTGTTTCCCACATAGATAACGAGAGTCCTAGCCAGATCTCATGATGTTTAGGGTGGGTCTGGTGCGAGTTGTCTTCTAATAGAGCACACGTTTTCCAGCTCATATGACTCATATATATGAGTCCTGAGTGAAGCCTTTTGCTGCTCAGTATCTGATCAGCTACACTAATCTGTCATTCTGTAACTCACATGACAGACAGCAACAGATACTAAAGCTGGGCCAAAGCAGAGAAGGTCAATCAAAGCCTGTACATATTGCCATGATTGTATGTGCTGGTAAAATAAGCCTATTGGTTATGTCAACTCTTTTATATTATTTTTAAAACACTTTTTTGAAAGTTTTAATACTGTGAACATTATCATGCGCAGAAAGTTCTATATGTTTTCTTAAAAGTCCTACATAATCTCTTTCAATAATCATATTTGTATTTTATTTTATTGCTGAAAAATATTTAGCAAATTCTTGCATACAATTCAAATAAGTGAAGGCAGTTTTGCTGCAGTTTTACTGGAAAAATGAATGTTCAAGGTTGTTTGATGACTATGGGATGTCACGTTTTTGGTGTTGTGTGTTTGTTTGCCTTTTTTAGACTTTGACATGATGATGATAACCAAAATGTCAGGACAGAACACAAAGTGAAGCACAGGTCAGAGTCAAATCACGTTCAAATATGCACAGTCCACCAGCATGTAGGTTAGTCTTACAAAGTTTCCAGATCTTTCTCTGGTTAAATTTTAGTCCAAGTGAAATGGTAACATCAGAAATGATTTGGGCTGAACCCTGGATGATAGTTGCCATCATTTGATTAAGTCTTATCTACACATTGTACACTACACATCTACGGCTTGATGAATCAAAATATTTATAGGGCCATAATTATTTTGAACAAAGTAATAGGCCTACATAGTAGGAATTATTAGCCTACATGTTTAGTAGGCTAATAATTCCAAGATGGTAATACATACTTGCCATCAGATTTTATGGAATAACACTGATCTGAAGTGAATTAAAAAACTTTAATATTTTGTAAGTTAGAAGTAATTCTAAAAAAAAGACAATACATTTTTTTTTATTTTATTTACATTGTTATTGTTCTATAAGCTGCCTGTCGTCTTTAATGAGATGTGGTCAAAATATTTATAGGGCCATAATTATTTTGAACAAAGTAATAGGCCTACATAGTAGGAATTATTAGCCTACATGTTTAGTAGGCTAATAATTCCAAGATGGTAATACATACTTGCCATCAGATTTTATGGAATAACACTGATCTGAAGTGAATTAAAAAACTTTAATATTTTGTAAGTTAGAAGTAATTCTAAAAAAAAGACTTAATACATTTTTTTTATTTTATTTACATTGTTATTGTTCTATAAGCTGCCTGTCGTCTTTAATGAGATGTGGCGACATCTTCTGGAGATGTGAAGTAAGCAAAACCTGCTAACGGATTGAGGCATGAGTCAGAAGTCAGAAGGGGAATTTTGTCTGCCCTCTAGTGGTCGTACACACAAACGCACACACATGTTTGTTGTGAGAACATCCCCATAGACTTTTATTGTTGTGAAAATGAGCTAATAATGAATACACGCTAACCCCTCACAGACATTATTTGGCCTTTTATCAATATGTCATTTTTATATTTTTTAGATTAGTTATGAAGACTATTCATGTCCACTGTATTTGATCTAACTAGCCTACTACTACTAATACTACTACTATACTTATTTAACTATTATATTCATAATCCCTACAATGTTTACTAATCATAATGTAGGCTATTGTGTTTTGTCTGGTCCTCATCAGTTGTGTTTTTTCTTCTTCTCTAAAATGTACCTAATGATAATATTCCACACCAGTTCCCATTTTCTCTTACTTTTCAGTAACATTTTTGCACATTTCATGTTTGCAATGTGCCTGAAGCTGTGCATAATATCTTATTTGCTTTGCAATGAGCTCATTACAGCTCGGGATTTCCACAGGGTTTTTCAGCAAGCACTGCACATTCAGAACTTCCTTTCCTCAGTGGGATAGAGATGGTTTAGCTGTGTTAGTCTTCTTAGAGAACTCCTCTATTTCCGTTATCTTTGCATTCTATATGCTATTATGCACCTTGATGACAGAACGTACTTTTTGAAGGTAATCTATTAAAACGGACTTCTCTTGCACTATACGCAGATTTTTGTCCAGTCTCATTCTCTCTGGAATGCAAATTGCAATCGACTAGCAAGAAACAAATCATGATTATGGC